GTATGTCTGTTAAACATCCAAGAAGGTTAGTTCCACCAGTCTGGTACTTTTAATTACCATGTGCCATGTAGATAAAGCTTGGGTAAAGACCAATTGTTCTCAGATAAACCTTGCCTAGACATATATTTCTTGATGTGGTATGTATAATTTGGCAGTAGGTTGTTGGACTAATATGGTTACCTCTGGTTTTAAAACTAGCTAGGCATTATTTATCTCTTGCATTGTCTAACCCCTCCATCATGGTTTCCCCAATTAAGGTGCCCCCATTTTTCCCCTTTCTCCCTTCTCCCTTAATAATACCCTTCTCCCATAGTCCCACCTCTCTTGAGCTCCTTTTTTCCCTTTATCCCCTAGGTTCCTTGTATACCCTTCCCTCCCCTTTCCCTTAAACTAATCCAATTTTTATACCTATATCCCCTATTAACACATGTTTCCTACTGTTCTTCTCTCTCAGGTTCTTTCTTTTTCTTTACCTTCCTGGTTCCTTTCCATTATCCTGGTTCCTGTAGTTATGTCTGGTTACATACTTATCAGGATTTGGTTCCACATATGAGGGAGAACATACGTTCATTTTTTTTCTGAATCTGTGTTACTACACTTAATATAACAGTTTCTAGTTCCATCCATTTACCTGTGAATTTCATGATTTCATCTTTCTTTACTGCTGAGTAAAACTCCATCATATAAATGAACCACATTTTCATTATCCACCTCGTCAATTGAGGGACACTTAGGTTGCTTCCATCTCTTAGCTATTGTGAAAAGAGCAGCAACAAACATGGATGTACAAGTGTGTCTGCAATAGGATGAGTTCTTTAGGTATATGCCAAGGAGTGGTATAACTGGGTCAAATGGTAGGTTCATTTGTAGGCTATTTTTTTTTTTTTGGTCTTTTTGAGATAGGGTCTCCCTGTAGCCCCAGCTGTCCTGGAACTCACTACGTAGACCAGGATGGCCTTGAACTCTCAGAGATCAGCCTGCCTCTGCCTCCCGAGTGCTGAGATTAAAGGTGTGCACCACCACATATGTAGTTTTTTAAGAGTCTTCCACACTGCTTTCCTTAGTGGTTGAAAAAGTTTGCAGCCTCACCAGCAGTGGATGAGCATTCCCCTTTCCCCACATCCTCTCCAACATTTGGTATCATTTGTTCTCTTGATCTTAGGCAGTCTGACTGGGGTAAGATCAAATCTTAAAGTGATTTTAAGTTGCATTTCCCTAATTATTAGTGATGTTGAACATCTTTTAAGATGCTTCTTAGCCCATCGTTACTTCTTCTTCTGAGAACTCTCTGTTCAGCTCCTTAGCTCATCTTTTAATTGGGCTACTTCCTGTCTTGATTCTCTATTTTTTGAGTTTGTTATATATTCTGGATGGTAAACCTCTGTCAGATGTGTCGCTGGTGAAGATTTTCTCCCATTCTGTGGGTTTTCTCCTCAGTTCCCTGGTTGCCTCCTTTGATGTAAAGAAGCTTTTTAGTTTAATGAGATCCCATTTGTTGATTCTTTCCCTGTTTCCTGAGCAATTGCTGTCCAGTTTAGAAAATCCTTTCCTACACCTTTATCTTGTAGATTTTTCCCAATGTTTTCTTCTAACAGTTTCAGAGTGTCAGGCTTTACATTGAGGTCTTTGATCCATTTGGAATTGACTTCTGTGCAAGGTGAAAGATAGGGGTTTAGTTTCATTCTTCTACAGGTGGAGATCCAGTTTTGCCAGCACCATTTGCTGAACATGCTGTCTTTCCTCCAGTGAATATTCTTGGTCCCTTTGTCAAATATCAGGTGGCCGAAATTGCATTTTCTCAAATTTGGGTCTTCAATTTTGTTCCATTGCTCTAGGGGTCTATTTTTGTGTGAGTACCATGTTGTTTTTATGACTATAGTTCTATAATACAGCTTAAAATCTGGTATAGTAATCACCCTGACATTGCTCTTAGTGCTCAGGGTTGTTTTGGCTATCTGAGGTCTTCTGTGCTTCCTTATTAACCTTAGGATTTTTTTTCCAATTCTGTGAAAAATGTCATGGGGCTTTTGATTGGCATTTCATTGAATGTATAAATGGCTTTTGGTAGGATGGTCATTTTCATAATATTAGTTCTTCTAATCCATGAGCATGGGAGACCCTTTGATCTTCTGATGTCTTCCTCAATCTCTTTCTTTAAAGATTTAACATTTTCATTGTAGAGTACTTTAATGTCTTTGGTCAGGTTTTATTCTGAGATATTTTATTTTTGTGTCTATTGTGAAGGGGAGTGTTTCCATTTATTCTTTCTCTGATTGCTTGTTATTGGTATAGAAAGGCTACAGACTTTTGTAGCTTAATTTTGTAACCTGCCACTTTACTGGACGTGTTAATAATTTCTAGTAGTTTTCTGGTGGAATTTTTGGCACCTCTTAGATATAATATCATATCATCTGCAAAAAGGGATAATTTGATCTCTTCTTTTCCAATTATTACTCCTTTAATTTCCTGCTCTTGTCTTATTGCTCTTGCAGGAGTTTCAAGCATTATGTTAAAGAGAAGTGGAGATAGTGGACAGCCTTGTCTGGTTCCTGATTTCAATGTGAATGCTTCAAGTTTTTCTCCAATTAGAACGATGTTGGCTGTGGGTTTGTTATATATGGCTTTAATTAGGTTGAGGTAAGTTCCCTCCAGTTTAATTTCCTCTAGGACTTTGAATATAAATGTATTTTGAATTTTGTCAAAGGCCTTCTCTGCATCTATTGAGATGACCATGTGGTTCTTGTCTTTGAGCCCATTTATATGATTTATGACATTTATTGACTTACATATGTTGAACCATCACTGTATCTCTGGGATAAAGCTGACTTGATCATGGTGGATGATCTTTTTGATGTGTGTCTGTATGCAGTTTGCAAGT